TCTGAGCTCTTCAGGCGGTTCCTTTGACCTCATGATTCTCATTTTCTCTGACATGCACTGTGAGCTGTAAGGTCTTGTATAGACAGGTGTGTGGCTTTCCTAATCAAGTTCAATCAGTATAATCAAACACAGCTGGACTCAACTTAAGGTGTAGAACCATCTCAAGGCTGATCAGAAGAAATGGACAGCCCCTGAGTTAAATATATGAGTGTCACAGCAAAGGGTCTGAATACTTAGGACCATGTGATATTTCAGTTTTTCTTTTTTAATAAATCTGCAAAAATGTCAACAATTCTGTGTTTTTCTGTCAATATGGGGTGCTGTGTGTACATTAATGAGGAAAAAAAATTAACTTAAATGATTTTAGCAAGTGGCTGCAATATAACAAAGAGTGAAAAATTTAAAGGGGTCTGAATACTTTCCGTACCCACTGTATATATATGTACACACACACACACACAATCACACACACACACACACACCATATATTATATCTTTGGAGCGTCAGACTTCATGCCTTTGTTTTTGTAAAGTTATTAATGTTCACAAGTTATTTAATAAAAAAACCTGGGAATTATCAGTCATTATTTAAATGTACAGTAATTAAATATGTGTGTGTGTGTGTGTGTGTGTGTGTGTCCGCGCTTTGGACTATGATGTTTGTTTTATCATACTTTTAACAAATAAACATGTCTTATCCATCCCTTTGCAATGCAAGTGCTGTACAGAAATGTAAATCTTCAACTTTGGAAATCTGAGAATACCTCTGCTCTGCTGAAGGAATAAAAAAGACCACATTTTAAAATGAATAAAATTACCTTTAATTGGCCACAAGAGGGCGCGAGAGAATCCCTTTGACAATCTCCAGACACATGCAGAGCCATCCAAAACTATTTGTTCTCTTCAATCACACTGAATGTCATTTCACTAGAGAACAAAATGTCAAAGTCTCATCTGTTCTGAAATGCTCCAGGATCTTTTCTTTTCAACTTCACTTTTCTTCATGATTTTTGAAGTTATGTACCACAAACAAACACAAGTCACACAATACTGTCTGTCTTCATTGTCAACACTGCATCTATTGTTTTAGAATTGCAAACTTCTTTTGGTCAAGCATTATGCACAAAAAGAGTCACACAATTTGATATTTGAATATATTTAGGGATCAATCAACCCTGGCTTACACGGAAATTTTTGACATGACACAATGTCTGTTTACCCTTGTGAACAAGTAAATTAGTCCTACACCATAAACGTTTATGTTCTATTATTGTTTATTCATATTTTTATGGCTTCATTATTTTGTCAACAGCTTTTATTTTCAAGCTCACAGCCTGTGAAGGGATGCATTAGGCTGACTTCTGGAAAGTGTCCAGCCTCTGCATGCTTCCATAACGGTCACTTTGAAAAAAAAAAAGATTATATTTTCTGAAGAGAATATGAGCGGTGTTTGCCAATGCGAAACTCACCATTGCATGTTCCCATCTTTTCCAGGATTTTCTATGCATGTTCTAAATGGTTGCTAGGGTGTTTCAAGTGGTTGCTAGGATGTTGCCATGCAGTTGTCAGGGTATGTAGGTTATATTTTAAAACATGATTTGTTAAAAGAGTGTTCGCTCTAATGCATTCCATATTTATTCTCATTAAACAACCTACAGTTTGAATCAAATTCACAGATCGTTTGCTATAGATCTGTGTGTGATTGATAGAAAATAGATACACTCTCTGGAGCCAGGAGCTGTAATGACAAGTTTCTGAGCCAGGCCACATCAACTGACAGGCGGGGAAAGCGGGGGGTCTCCCATGACCCTTTGCAGTGTGGGATGGAGATGTGGAAATAGCACTCTGCATTTTGGCAGCAATCGAGTCCCTCTGGAAGTTTGGACAGCGACCAAAGCAGAGTGGAAATAGAAGCTGGAAAAGAAAGAGACATGCGTTCTGTGGAGTAAAACCCGTCAAGCCTCTGCAGCTCATTATAGGTTAGTGAAAAAAATCACTGTATGTACAGTTGAGTTTTAAAAAACTACACAAAAACATAGTAATGCTAGGGAACATGCATAACACCTTAGCAACTTCACAACATGCCAAGCAACTACTCAGAATACACAAACCACATGATAAGTGTGATACAAAACACTCAGAACACCTTAGCAACACCTTAGCAACTACCTAGAGCACCAGAGCAACCACACAACAACATGCTAACAATTGCTCAGAACACCTAAGCAACCATATAGCAACACTCTGGTAACCATCTAAAACATCTTAGTAACTGTGTAGCAACACCCTGGCGACAACCCAAAATATTATAGCAACTGTATAGCAAAATCCTGGTGATAACCCAAAACATTCTAGCAACTGTATAGCAGCAACCTGGCGACAATCCAAAACATCCTAGCAACTGTATAGAAACACCTTGGCGACAACCCAAATCATCCTACTGTATAGGAACACTCTGATGACAGCTCAAACATCCTAGTAACTGTATAGCAACACCTTGGTGACAACTCAAACATCCTAGTACTATAACTGTGTAGCAAAACCCTGATGATAACCCAAAACATTCTAGCAACTGTATTGAAACACCTTGTTGACAACCTAAAACATCCTACTGTATAGGGACACTCTAGTGACAACTCAAACATTCAACTGTATAGCAACAACCGGGGCGACAATCCAAAACATTCTGGTAACTATAGCAACACTCTGGTGACAACCCAAAACATTCTAGTAACTGTATAGCAACACCCTGGCGACAATCCAAAACATCAACTGCATAGCAACACTCTGGTGACAACCCAAAACATTCTAGTAACTGTATAGCAACACCCTGGCGACAATCCAAAACATCAACTGCATAGCAACATACTGGCGACAACCCAAAATATCCTAGTAACTGTATAGCAACACCTTGGTAACAACCCAAAATATTAGCTGTATAGCAACACCATGGCGACAACCTAAAACCTCCTAATAACTATATAGCAACACCCTGGCGACAACTCAAAACATCCTAGCAACTGCATACCAGCAACCACAGAAAAACATCCTAGCAACTGCGTAGAAATGCACTATACAGAAAAGAATAATTCAGCAATGCCCTAGCAAGTTTTGCACGAACACCAGTGACATTTTCTCCTGTCTAGTTCATGATTTGGTATCTGCATTGTGGTCTGATGTCTAATGGTTCGTGTGTCCTTCGGAGACGTCTCCAGCCCTCGTCCTCCACAGCTGTCCAGAACAGAGGGGCTCGTGGGTATTATGTAAAGTGTGTGTACTGTACGTGGGTGTGTTTGGGAGAACAGGACTAACAGGAGGGAAAGTATTTATGGATGTATGCAGCAGATAAAATAAAAATATTGAATATTGAATCATGTTCTTTAAATCTAAAGTGTGCTACATATAATACTGTTACCCTCAGATACTAATAATTTCAGATGGTTTCAGACTATTATAGTGCAGTACAGCAAGTCATTCAGTGCACATTTCAGCAAATATAGAAGGTCATTCTATGCATACTAAAAATGTCCATGCTATGCATGTACTGCAGAAGTAACATGAGTAGTAGTATAGCAATATGATATTTAAAATATAGGCAATAATAAATATATCATATAATATATAAAGCTATAGCTCCTTTATGAAATAACACAAGCGCATCTTTCTGATATGCATGAGAAGTATAAGGTTTGAGGAAACACAAGCTCTGCAAAATCTGATGTAGATTGTATCTCCAGATGGCGCACACCTCTGGATACTTGTTAGATGTGACAGATCAAAGTGTGTGTGTGTGTGTGTGTGTGGAAAACAGAAGATCCAGAGGAGAATGTGGTGTGTAAACATCAACAGGCCTGATGTGGAGTTCACCGAGGGTAGCAGTGGCACTTCATTTTTTTCCACTTATAATGTTAGTCAAGGTTTCTGGCACCACAAATTGTCATAATTTAGTTGTTTATGACAAATTTTCCACTCCCTTAAATGGGCTGTTTGTTTAAAAGAAATAAAAAAACCTGTTATGATTGACCAAACTTTGCTTAAAGGCACAGTATAAATATTCTCAATAGGTGATAATATATAAATGTGGGCGGTCATATGTTAATGAGCTCAAATCTATACAAAAAGTATGTAATGTGGCTTCATAAATTGTTTTAACATGCTAAAAACATTGCCTTAACTACCACTAAATAGAACATAGGAGTAACATAGCAACCACTTAGCAACACCCTGGCAACAAAGCTGAACACCCCAGTTACCACATAGAAACATGCTAACACCCACTCAGAATGCTTGGGCAACCAC